AAAATTCATTGTAATTGTTGCCGCCCAACCACCTGCCTCTGCCGCCAAACCCACCACAATAGACTCGTCACATGACAGACCATAGCAAGCCTCCACAGTTGCCCTCCCCCCCAACCTCCCACCACCACCTCTGCCTGCTCTCCACTCGCCACCATGTCGACAACCCACCACCGGCCACCGCCGCAGCCAACCACCACCCCACGGTCTTACCCGCTCTATGCCGACCACCACCATCATCTATTTGTCACAAGCCACCACTGCTAGCCACTACAGAGCCACACCATGGCCAATATCGACCACCAAGCATATCATTTTTGCACTTTACATTGCATTTATTTCACTTCAAAATAAGCAAAAAAGAAATATTCTCATAAATTTATTTTACACTCACTCAAACAACTCCAAATATATTTCTTTTAAAACATATAAGATTATTATTGCTCATATTTGAAATTTGGATTATTATTGGTCACAGTTGCTAACACTGCTGCCCCAATTATTGTTGTTTTGTTTTGTTTTTTTTTTTTAAATTTCTTTTTACGAGGGTATCTATCCGTTGCCACTCCAAAGGGAACGCTTGGCACCGTAACTAATTCCTCTGCAAAACCTAGCAAGGCCAACCACCGGCATCGGACTCACACTTGCTTTGTCTCATTGAAGAGACGAGGCCGTAGTAAGGAGGATTCGAACCCAGGATGAGGGATTTCCAGCTGCGCTCGCTCACGAATCACCCTAAGACTCGGTGGGTCAATTATTAGTTGTTGCCTTCTTGTTTTAACAGTACAAATGTGGCTATTATTTGCTTGTTGTTTGTATTGTTCATACTACTGTTTATGTTCAGATAAAAATAAAAGAAAACATTTTTTTATAGCAATTCAGAAGAGAAAAAAAAACTTATTATACTCTCTGACGCGAAATTTTAATTAGGTGCACAATTAATATTAATTACGTAAAAGCATAGCATTAAAAAAAGTTTGAAATTGATTGACGTTCTTATGAAAATAAATTGATTCATGCTTACATTTTAACAGAAAATTAAAAACATTTTAAAAATATGTAAGAAAAATGTTGTCATCATAAAATAAAAGATTTTAGACTAAAATAATGAATAAAACTAGTGAAAAATGTAAAATAAAATAGTGTTTTGAGGGGATTTACATACATACTATATTATTGTTTCATGTTATTTATATATCTAACAGTCAAAACATTAATATTACATGTCTACCATGTAATATTTCTTATTATTTTGATGTTAGACATGTAATATTAATGTTTTAGATGTTAGATATATAAATAGCATGAAATAAAATGATATATATGTAAATTTTTCTTTTTTTGCATTTTGTGTGAAAACGCAAAATAAAATGTGTTTTCACTAAAAACGTAAATGGGATTTATTTTTACGTTTTTCTTCCATTGTAAATTTGATTTTGAAGGTGCTCTTTAGGCTTAGTTTTGAACAATTTTCTTATTATTTCTTAAAATAATTTTTTAGTACAAAAATTTAAATTTTGTAATTTTGCAAAATTTAAATTTTGTAATAAAAATTTATTTTAAGAAACAGTAAAACAACCATCCCAAAAGAAGCCTTAGTGTTTCATTCTAAGACATATAAGTTACTAATACTTCTATGACATTTAAGCTACTAGTTTGTCATCAAATGTAGGATTAACTATTATGTTGAGATGCCGAACGTCATCCGGAAACCAATCAGAATGCGACTTATCACTCATTGTTCAGTATCGCAGCTCGGTACTACTAACGTGACGCATTCTAATTAGTAATCGAATGACGTAGGGTTTCCGCACAGTATAAATTATCAAAATGTAGTCGCACAACCTGCTAAAATTTGTTCCTTTTTGCTTCATTGAGCCCTCCAACTCCGAGTTTTTTTAAAATGCATATAAGTATTTTTGCTGGAACACAGTTACGTCAAAAGATAACTTCATTAATTTAGATAATTCAATAATATACCTTATCATTTTGTCATTATGCTCTTTTAATTTTTCGTTTGTAAAACTATCATTCAATAATGTCTCAAATTAAAATTTTCAACGGTCACTATGCCTTAAAAAAATTAATTAAGCTCTTAGTACAAAACTCTCACATAAATACATAACCAAGCATCTTTTTTTAAGGCCGAGAAATAAATTTAGGGGTTTTTTACATATCTAACACTTAAAACTACTTTATTTACTTCATAACACCGAAACTTCACTATTACTATTTTACCATCTAAAAACCCTTTCCCTCATCAAAACTAACAATCCTTTGATCCTTTCTCTCTCGTCAAACCCAAACCCCAGCCCCGTCTTTCCGAAACATCTACTTTGCCTTCATCGCTCTTCCTTGCTTGGTCAGCTCATCGATTTGCTCGGCTAGGTATGTTCTTCTTCATTTCAATTGGCAAAATAGTAAATAGTGAAGTTTGAATGTTAAATAAATAAATAGAATAGTTCTAAATGTTAGGTATATAAAAACCCCATAAATTTATTGCAATTCAGCAAGACTAAAACCAGAGGAAGATATCACATGCCAACAAACTTCCATGAACAATTAGGCTAATGATTATGTTGAATACAACAATTACATCGCCATATGATTTAGAATTACATGTAAGAAAAAAAAAAGATTATTAATTTCTTAGTGAGTCCTGTCTTAAGCAAAGCACTAATGTCAATTTCAGGAGGAATTGAGGAAAGAAGGATTGAATTTAGAAGTTGTGATTTGAAGGACAGAAGTCATCGCTTTCATGCAAAACTCATTGCAGCTACCACAACCAATTATTAAATTTCATCTCTTAAACAAGAAAAGTTTTAAATGACTAAATTTATGAGTAAGGTTTCGCTTGGTACAGCTTTTTTATTGCTTCTTAAAACAGTTTTTAATAAAAAATTATTCTAAAAACTGCTTTAAGATGATGGAGCTATCATGAAGAGTTAGCACCTAGTGTAAAGCTCTAACAGGAATGAATGGAGCCCCAATCATAAAGTCAACACCATTAGATTGGATAAGGATAATGAGAATAATGATGAGCGCATAGCAATCAGATGGTGCAGTAGGGGTAAGAAATGCAAGAAGAAGAAACAAGAATAACAATTGCTACCTTCCGTTTAAAAAAAATGTAGTAGTAACTCAAATGTCAAGTTTGGGACAAAAATAATTGGCTGAAAATCAGAGCTTGTAATCATACAAAGAAAGAAAAATGGCAGATGATTAAAGTTGTAATATTTCAGTATGGAACCAAACCTCATTTTTCATTCATTAACTTTTTCATTGCATTCACTGACAATCCACAGATTGGCTATCCCACCAATAATCAAGTGGCGACCAGAAAGCAAAATCCTCAGCCGGGATAAGAAAATTACTAGATTCCTCTCTAACCGCCATGTTCCTCCGGGACTGGATGAACAAGAAGGCAAACCTTGACTAATCAATCATCAAGCTGACGTAGCTCAGCCTTAAGCTGCTCCATCTTGAGCCCCATCGAGTTTTTCAGAGCCGATTTATCCTTCTCCGGCAACCTCGCAAGCAAGCTCTCGAACATGTCGAACACAGAATTTACAGCCTCGCGGGCACACTCAGATTCCTCGTCGAAGTAGACCGTTTCCTTTGACTCCAGAGCCGCGTCGATCTCCTCCCGAGCTTCTGCGAACTTGATGTTGATTTCGTCTACCTCTTTGCCGTAATCGATTGGCTTGTTGCTACAAAAGCCACGGAGGAGAAGAGGATTTGGCGTCGTAGGATGAAGCGTGAGAGCGCAGGGACTGGAGATTTGGGAGGGCGAAAAGTAAGGTTTTTGGAGGGAGGAACAACGGTCGGAGATTGAAGGAAGAACTTTGGGTAGAACTTGAGCTGAGTGTTTCAATGAAAGCTCAAAAATATTGAGGGAGACGGATCTTCGGAAGAGAGATCTGGCGCTTCGATGCATTAAAATTTCGCATTTAGGAGATTGCATAAGTAGCTCGTCAACTCCATGATATCCCCTCTTTTAGGTAGCATGGGCGGAGGAAGCGAGGGAGGGAGGGGGGAAAGGGAGGGCACGTTATTTGCATGTTACTTGCTTGTTATATATATATACCCTCTTTCGTTTTTCATTTCGGTCATCTCTTGTCATGTTATTTGCATTCTTAATTTTGATCTTACAGCTCCTCTTGGTTCCGATAATGAGATGAGAAACATAACTATTTTAATATATTTTAACATTTCAGATTAGACGACAAACAAAACTATTTTAATTTATGACCCTCTAAATAAAAAAATTTAGGCTCCGCCACTGTTAAGCAGTGCCTTAGTGACCACTTTAGCTGATTTTAGCCATGTAATGAATCAGGATCGTTCAATCCCTTCTCATTTTTACAAGAATTGTAATTGTCCCAATTATCGCTCGATATCTTCCTCGTTATCTTTTAATTTCTTTCACCACCATCCTAATAATCATTCACAATAATTCATATATTTTGCATTGTACTAACGTATTCATTAACTTTGTAAAATTATATCTTATATAATTTAATGTTATGATTGGTGAAAATTATTTCAATTAAGTAATATATTGTGTTTTTTCTCTTAAACTTCACATTAAAAATAATGACTCACATGCATTTCATTATACCCTTTAAATCTTGTATGAATCATCATTTGATGGTAATATTGTAAATTATCTACATCTAAAGAGATAATCTTCCAATGCAAATAATATTGATCACTCTTATTAATTCTAAATAAAATTACATATTGTAAATAAAATAATATTAAGGATATGTTTGGGATAGCTTTTTGGCTGCTTTGCTTTTCCAACATCTATCATACTTCCATTTTGGTACAACTTTCTTGTTACTTTTTCACAGTTTTTTAGAAATTTTTGCAGTTAAAAATTATTTTTCACAACCATATTAGCGAAGTTATTTTCCCCACAGTAACTTTACTGACAACTTTATAAAACGTTGGGAGCAATGAATATAGCTTACACAACTCTTCTTGGTCTATTGGTTGAGAGCTTAGGCTTCCAACTAAGAGGTCCAAGGTTCGAGTCTATGTGTATGCGTTGTGTGTGTGAGTTTGCCTTAATTGGCCTAAATGTCCCAAAAAAAAAAATGAATATAGCTTAATATTTATGAACATATATGATAGTTTATACTGTAAACAGAGCTACAATATAATTATGATGCTTTCTATGAATTATATTCTAATTTATTAATATTTCACTATATTAATATTAAATTAAACTTCTTTATTCATGATAATCTTAAGCTTCGTTTGGAACGGATTTCTTATGGATTCTTATAGTAACTTTCTAGTACAAAAAATTAAGAAGCCGTCCCAAATCAAGTCTTAAGCTTCGTTTGCGACGGCTTTCTTATTGTTTCTTAAAGTAATCTTTTAGTACAAAATTTTTAATTTTTTGTGCTAGAAAACTGCTATAAAAAGCAGTAAGAAAGTCATCACAAACGAAACTTTGATCTGATGTTAGCTTCTGCATACAATTTGTTTTATTTTTTAGCCCAACTCAGCAAAATTTTATTTATCTATTTCTTAAGAGCAGTGTAAGCTAGTCAACTCTAATGATTTCAGCATAATCTGGACTTTGAAATTCCAGATTAGTTGTAATTGAACCATAAAAATGAACCACTCCTCTCTCTATCTCCATTAATTTAAGCTGCTACTCTCTTAAGCTAAACCAACAAAAAATTTCACCCATATAGATATAAATACCCTAAACCCCATTCAATTACAAAACCCAGCAAAATGCCTCGCCACCTACCCTTTACTAACAACACTAGCGTTAATTTTGCCTCAATTGTTGTCAAAGACGATATTGGTTTGATCAGTTTTCTGCTCTTTTGCGCCCTTATGACTACGGCTTGTGCTTCTCATGGCCGCCAGTGGCGGTGGCTTAAAGCTCGCCGTAACGGCAAACTTGTCATCAGCTCTCCTCAGATGGTTATAAGAAGCAGTAAGAAAGCCATCACAAACGAAACTTTGATATGATGTTAGCTTCTGCAGATAATTTGTTTTATTTTTTAGCCCAACTCAGCAAAATTTTATTTATTTATTTGTTAAGAGCAGTGTAAGCTAGTCAACTCTAATGATTTCAGCATAATCTGGACTTTGAAATTCCAGATTAGTTGTAATTGAACCATAAAAATGAACCACTCCTCTCCATTAATTTAAGCTGCTACTCTCTTAAGCTAAACCAACAAAAAATTTCACCCATATGGATATAAATACCCTAAACCCCATTCAATTACAAAACCCAGCAAAATGCCTCGCCACCTACCCTTTACTAACAACACTAGCGTTAATTTTGCCTCAATTGTTGTCAAAGACGATATTGGTTTGATCGGTTTTCTGATCTTTTGCGCCCTTATGACTATGGCTTGTGCTTCTCATGGCCGCCGGTGGCGGTGGCTTAAAGCTCGCCGTAACAGCGAACTTGTCATCAGCTCTCCTCAGATGCAGCCTATGGTGGGCGGCGATGACAGATATAATGGTAGTGATGGTGAAGACGATGGTTCTGTGTGGAAGAAGAATATAATCATGGGAGAGAAGTGTCGGCTACCGGATTTCTCAGGCGCGATCATCTATGATTCTAAAGGGAACCTTTTTGTCCCTAGCTAGAGAGATTATTATGTGCGGACACCAGACATAGCTTACTGTCCAGAGGCGAATAAGGTGCAAACATGCCATCTAGTGCCGAGCCACGATACGAGTTGTGGGTGACATGGTGTAATTTCATAGGGCTCTGGACAACATTCGACATTCACACAGAATAATTCATCCCCTAACTGACGAGAATACTCGAGCAATGCGTGAACCAAATGCTAGAACTTTGGGAGAATTCGAGAGGAATATGCTATGCTATATTGATATTAATTAGTATGTTGTGTTTATTGGTATATTATGTTTGTGTACGCTATATGGGAAGTATTGTAATTTAAAAGCTTTATTGATATAATAGAAAATAAAAAGTTTTTTAATTTAAACCTCCCACATAAATGGATGTTAAAAAATATGTTATTAAGAATATGGAATGTTATCAATGAGATGCATCGTGATTGTAAATGAGTTGAGTTTGAGCCACAATGAATTGGAGCTCAGCTCATCAATCAAAAACTCAGCTCAAGCTCGAGGCGAACTCAAATGATGAGCTTGAGCTCTGCTCATCCATTTACTCATGAGCTCGAGCTCTACTTTAGAGGATATTGTTGTGAAAGTTTGCTGGAGAATGATTGACATGATCATTGACTTGAAACATAAGAGGAAGTCAAGGGATCTCGTTGGAGAAATCCTCAACTAAACCAAGGGTTAGAGTTTGGAGAGGAAGAAGTTGTTGGGAAAGCTTTTTGGCGAAGAACTTAAACATTGACGAGACCAATGGTTTGAAATAAAAGATGAAGTTGTTGTGTGAGATTGTTGAAGAAAACATCGATGAAACTAGCGGCTATAGATCGAGGCAATAAAGGAAGTCGAGGCTAGCAACAAGACTAACACTATTCAAAGAAGAATAGGAGTTGATGAGACATATGTTAATTGGGATGTTAGGACTAAGCTAATGCAGTGAGAAAGAAAATTTAGGTTAAATATTTACTTCAATCGAGTTGGCTCCTGAGCCAATAAATGAGATGACTCAAACTCAAGCTCGACCTTCGAGCTTGATACGTCACGCAAAAATTATCTTGACCGGGCACGAATCTCGAGGCAAAAATCAAGTTGAAAATTTAAAAAATTAAATTTGGGAGCACCTGAACTCCGATTTCAGCAGGCTTATAGTCAAACTAAGCGTCTCGGAAATAAGAACCCAACGACACTAAATTCAACCCAATCCGAGCCCAAATGGGTCTTAATCAAGGACCCGAAGCGTTGTTGTAAGGTTCAAACAACTTACCAAACGGTCTCCGATTTTAACGAGCTTATGCTCGAATCGAACGGCTCGACGAGACGAATCCAACAAGTCCAAGATCGCCGAATTCCAACATCACTAAGGCCTTCAAATGTCCAACGAACGGTGCACAATCGAAGGGTTCAACATCAACCGTCCATTCGACCACTCCCTATTCGCCCCTGATCTCACACCTATTTACAAGCCATGCCACTCCAGAAAAACTATAAATAGAGCCCTCATTCTTCACAAGAGGACTCAAGTGAGAAGAGAGAGAAGAAGAGAAGGAAAGAAAGAGGAAAGGGGAAAGGGAGAATCTTTCTCCTCGACCACCGCCGAGGCTCTTCCGCGCCTGAATAGCCGGAACTTGCCGGATTTTCGGGAAACGGGGATTTTGAGAACTTTGTAACTTTGTTAGAAGCTGATTTGTAAACTGATTGTCTCAACTTGTGAGACGAATCAGACTTGTATTTCAAACAAACTAGTGGAATTATTTTCAACTGGGCGTGGCCCCGTGGTTTTTTTCTCTTCCGGTTTTTCCACGTAAAAATCATGGTGTCTTTTATCTTCTGTTTGTGTTGCTAGATATTCGTACAACGCTCAGACGAAATTTTCTAACTCTACCGCCGCGTATATTCTAGCTCGCAATAGAGCTCATTAGTGCATTGAATTTGAATAATCTTGGCTTACTTGCACCCACGAGTGTCACCAATTCAGTCTACATATTAATCATTTCGAATATTAAAAGTCTTGGTCTTCTTTTTGTCATTGGAATTGGTTCAAGCATGTTTTCACAACTAATTGCTTAGTCATATCTGACAAGAAAAATAAAAGAAAGAATGTAATGACATATTTATTGCGTTATTTTTTCTTAAATCTTGATGCATAAAATTAGTCATTTAAGTAAATAACTTCAAACATCTTTATACTGTGTTTACATTTATTCTGAATATCTCTTTTTTGTGTTTTATCGCAAAATCAATAAAATGTTGATAAAAATCTTCAAAAGTAAACAAATTGTATTCAATATATATATATATATATATATATATATATATATAATGAATTGCAAAAATATATATTAATCAATGAAATAATAAAGGCCATGTGACATAATAAAAATTTTTTGATAAAAAAGCACATCAGCCCATTAACATAATTAAATTTCCTCCTTTTTATAACAACAAGTCATTGTCCAACTATATAGGGTTACTATCTCACTATATAGGGCCTGCCAAAATTTTCTCTTTTCAACTTCACAATAAATTTGGTCTCTCTCACTCTCTCTCTTATGTCCAATACTCTCATTTGAGACAATTGATAAAATAACTTCCAAAGCCTAAATAATTAGATATATCATATTCTAATAATAAATAAACTTTCTATTTATACGAATAATAGTTTATTCATATGTGTTTATGATTTTTTTTGCATATTATGAAGTTGCATTATATTGAGATTTTTTTTTTTTTTTTGAATTATCTATATGTCATGCGTGCTAATATAGGTAACTCCTAAGTACTGAACATGTTCACCATTCAAGAGCTAGATTAAGGGATGTTTTGATCAGAAAGAGATTCATTCCACCAACTTGGTGGAATGAATCTCTTTCTGGTTGGTGGCACCAACTATAATAGGCACGTACATACATAATCCATTATCACGACTCTATCAACTACATTTGCTACTAGCTCACAATCATATCCTGATATCCCCCTGGAGGACCTGATGCTAAGTAAGAGGGCTTCGCCACTTGCTTGGGGTATTCATTTTTCTGGACTCGTATATGGTGACCATAATAGAGAACTTATCCATATCTATGATACTCACCCTCAATGACTTACCATCTATCAAAGGGAATTGCCAAAAGAAGTCCCAAGTCATGTTAAATATGAATGAGCACTCGTGTCTATTTCTCCGTGGTCCGCATATTTGTCTCAGCCATTACCAATCAAATCATGCATTATTTTCCTATTTAGATGTGACATTTACGATAGTCCTCTCAATTCCATAAATGTGATGTTAAGATGCATATTTTTCATTTCATGAATTTTTTATTATTCACAAAAAGAATACTCAGCTCCTCATTTGTTCTCCATGCTCATTTATTTATCCATCTTATTTTCATAGAGTTTTAGTACTAAGATAAGATGTCTTAGTCTCGCCCAAAGGTTAAAAAGCCACTCACCAATTAATTTAAATCATATTAACAAATTTGCTTATAATAGAATAGTGAAATATTTTATTTTAAAAAATTTAATAAATACTTAAATTTTATTTGGGATAACTTTTCATCATTATCTTATTACTATTTTAGAAAAAAAAAACGTATTTTAAAAAATGATAAAAAAAATTGTCCCAAGTGAAATGTTAGGATTCAAAATATAATTTAATAGTGGTTGGTGGCATAAATAAATATATATATATTTGCCTCAGTCGCACCTTTAAAGGCGCTAACTCTTCCTCTCTCTCGCCGAGGACCGCGCGAAAGGGGAAAAACAATTTTTTTTTATTATTTAAAATCTCAGAACGTTTTTTTGATCAGCAGGGAGTAGGGAGAGCTTATAAACCCTAACCCGACTTAACAATTTGGTCGTCGCCTGCTTCTTTCGGCGGCAATGGCGACCACTAACGTGCTTGCTCCGCAGTCTCCTTCCTACATCTCGACCCCACAGCCCTCACCGGGACCACTTCAGGCCGCGGCGTTCAGCAATGCTTCTCTTTACGTCGGCGATCTCGACAAATCTGTTACGGAGGAGCAGCTCTTCGAACTCTTCAACCAGGTTTCCCCCGTCGTCTCAGTGAGGGTTTGCAGGGATATGATCAAGCGGGTGTCGCTTGGTTACGGTTACGTCAATTATCGCACACCGCAGGAAGGTAAATTTGTTTTTTTTTTTAAGAGTATACAGGGTTTTGGAATGTTAAAGGTTTACAATTATGGGGAAGAGTTGTAACTTTTGGGGGGGTTATGTATTGTGCTAAGTTTTTTGTGTCTGGTGCATTGTTTCATCTTTAATGTTTGAAAATTCAAGTTTGGAATAGGATCAGTTTTTTTTTTTCCTTTGGCTTGAAATAATTAACAGAATTGAATTGAAAATTTTAAACCAGCACTCCAAGTGACACTTGATTCTTTTATAATTTTTGAGTGGAAGCGATTTCGTTTACTCAGAAGAGGATTACATCATAAACATATATTTATGCTACTTTGAATCCATGCATTTGAACGAAATATATTCTCATGGAAACAGGTGTTTAGTGATGCTTGTGGTTTTTGATCACTAGGAAGTGTTCTTTCTTTTAAGGTATTTAGTTATGATTATCGATCTCATCTGGCATATTTTTCTATATTCGATGCTGGAAAGATCTTGGTTTTGGAAGTTTATATGGCTTTTTTGTATTCAGTTTGGAGTAATTAACAGAATTTAGTGGTATCCTTCTCGCTTCTTGTCGATGCACCAACCCAGGTGACATATATTTTGTTAGTTTATGTATGGAAACAGATCCATACATTTGGAAGAGTACCATATTATAAATATGCTTCATGCTGCTTTTACTCGGTGCATTTACAAGGATTATTTCTCATGAAATCAAGATTTGATTTTATATCCTCATTTTGTGATGTCCTGTGGGATTATTGTTTATAAGGTTATGTCAATTACTTGTGTTAAGAAATTTAGGAGGAATTCTTGAGAGCTTCTTGACCTTTGTTGCAAGAGAGAGAGCAAGAAGGGATGACAGATTTTAGGAGGAGGAATTCAATTTTTCCCAAATTATACATCAGCCTACAACACCTATATATAGACATTTACATTATTGTGGTAACTTGCATGATCAACCTATCCTAAAATAGGACAAAAACCTCAGAACTTGTTGAACGAAGGTAAGAACTTTATTATGTTTCTAAGGTTTTGGTGATGTTTACATTTATGATCATTGGAAATTGTTTTGGAAAGATATGAGTCCAAGTGCAATGATGATTATGAGAATGATAAAAAAATATGTAACGGGAAGATAAAAAAAACAGCACAGTAAAATTTATATTATTTTGTGAGAGAGTAGGCAGAGTTTTTAGGAATGCATGAAAAAAACATAAAACAAATTAATGTTGTAAGTTTTGATTTTATAATTAAGGCCACTGAGAAAGCTATCTTCACATCTTAACAAAAACTTGTTGCTTTTTGAAATATCTTTGTGGATACTTGTTTCATATGGCATATTTTTCCATTTTTAATTTTGGGAAGAGTGTAGCTTTTGCATGATGAAAAGTGTTTCTGGATTGCCTGAAATAATTTATACTCCTTTGACTTCATGCATTTTCATGACGTATATTCTCATGAAAACAAGTTTTTAACGTATGTTCTTAGTTTTATGCTTGTGTTTTTTTGCATGATCCTGTGGTAGAGTTCCATCAAATGGCTTAAATAGCCATCTTCTTCATGACTTCTATATGGTTTATTTGTTGTATAAGGACTATCAAGCTTTTGATCAAATAGTCTGCCCTATAGCAATAAAAAGTGTATATAAAATGGGTAAGTTGGAGTATAAATTATGATACTGATTGTTGTATCTATGTGAGAAAAAATTCTACACGAGCATATATTTTGAATGACTGTAGTAAGAAAAGAATCGATAATTGGTCAAATGAGGCCATGAGATATGCTCGGCATGAAACTAACCCTTTTTCAACCATTTTGATTTTGTCTTTATTTTTTAAAAAGTTGCTGCCGCTTTTATTAATGTTTTTTTAATTTTTCATGTCAAGAAATGATGTTACTTCTTTCTAAGTTCCTTGCATTCAATGTACCTTCAGAAGTAATATTCACACTATAATTTATCTTATTCTATTTTTCTGGTTGGTGTATATAATGGCAGAAGATAATAGTGCATTCAATTGCCCTATAATTAGCTGAATAAAGATTGTATGATATATTATTTTATATATAAGCCTGATAATAATTAGTTAACAGTGTTGGAAAACCAAAAGATATCTAGGTGTGATAGGTTATATATTATACTAATTGCATGAAAATATGAGGCCTTAGATGAAGTTAGATCCACTAAAATTAGATTTGAGTAACAACTGCATATTAAGAGAATTTATAGAGCATATAAGTAAATTTATAAAATTGCAACTAAATTAACTGTGTTCATGGGTCTTAGTGTTAAGGCAAAGAAGTCACGGGCATCAAATGCATGTGTATGGCCAAATTGAGATTTTAAAGATGGAGGTGTGGTGTGGTAATGATATCATTAGAAAGAATATTTTAGAGAAGAGATGGAAGAAATATCTATTGAAGATAAGTGGGATATTTTAGTTATACTTTGTTTACAGCAATCATGCTGGAAAGCCACTCATCTGCGATTAAACTCATTTGGCCTGGCTCTACATGCATCCTATACATGGATAGTCACACCAAGCTAATGCTTGGGAGACTTCGACATGTACAATTTAATAAGTCAAATAAAGTTACTGCGGAAGGAATAAGAAGGGAAAATGGTCGGTTGAAGGTAACATGACTAGAAATTATGTAGTAGACTTTGTTATGTGGTCATCACCTTCAACAAGGTGACTGTATTAGGGGCCATAAAGCTGACTTGAAAGACAATGCTAATGATGATGGTAATGAATAGAAGACCATGGGATGCCATGCATCATACCTATGGATCTGAGATCTTTTATGTACTTATAGAAAAGATATCTCAGCACTTCCTATCCTAAATAATATAATTAATGATTTCCACACCAAAATCATGATTAAATTCAAATATAGCTCCAATCATTCACTTCTCTAACTCAGATTTGATTTTCTAAGATAGTACAAATAAAAATATATAAAATCTATCTATCCCTCCCCCGGGGCCTTATTCTTTCTTCATATCATATCCATACTAGTTTTTTCTCTAATATATATATATAATGTCCATCTATACACATTCGTTGGAACATTATAATTATATTCCTCCTTCACACTCTCTCCCCCTCTCTCTATCCCACCCTCTCCCTCTCTTATCCTCACTATTTTTCTCTCTAAATACATTTTAGGGTGGGTTGTGAGTGAGTGTTTATATATTGCATTGTTTATGTCCATGTATACACATTACACACACTCAATGGCTATGTTATTAAAATCACTCCCATATGAAAAAAAAAAAATCAAGAAATTTTTTATAGAATCTATGGTTGCTCAACTGTTGATGCTTAACAACATTTATTTTATGGACAGAAACTTATTCTAATTATTTTATTAATGCAAACTAGCGCACAAAGCCAATTAGAGATAAGTAGGCAAGAGGCCCACAACAGTTTAAGTTGTCATAAGACTCACTATAGATTGAATGTTGAAAGTTAGTGAATATTTAGTTAAAGAACATTATTTGCTAACTTCAAACCTATTCGTCCCTGGGAATCAGGAAGCATATCGCTTAACCTAAAGCTCTTAAGGTAATTTTGAAAACATAATATCTTTTAAAGAAAGGTCTTATGAGTTAGTGTATCTTTCCACATGGGGGAATCAGGAAGCATATCGCTTAACCTAAAGCTCTTAAGTAATTTTGAAAACATAATATCTTTTAAAGAAAGGTCTTATGAGTTAGTGTATCTTTCCACATGCTCTGTTTGTTTATAATTGATGTATTTGTCTTGGATATTGTATTTGTTTTCCACAGTTTTTGAGTAAAATGCTCTGTTCTGTCAGGTGAGAAGAACCTTTCTTCTTGAAATTACTATTATTCTACCAGCTTTTTAATGCACATTAACTGGTTTTTTTTTCCTTTTATATAGCTAGCCGTGCCATGGAAGCTTTGAATTTTACTCTATTAAGTGGAAAAGCTATAAGGGTTATGCTCTCGCAACGCAATCCTAGCGTTAGGAAAAGTGGATATGCTAATATATTCATAAAGAATCTTGAAACAACAGTTGATAACAAGTCTTTGCATGATGTTTTTGTGTCCTTTGGTCCTGTTCTTTCATGCAAGGTAGCTGTAGATAGCAATGGCCAGTCGAAAGGGTATGGCTTTGTACAGTTTGAGAATGAGGATTCAGCTCAACAAGCTATCATAAAGCTTAATGGTATGCTTATCAATGAAAGAAAAGTGTATGTTGGCCTCTTTATACGTCGACAGGACAGAGATAGAGAAAAAGGATCTCCTAAATTTACTAATGTATATGTAAAGAACTTTCCTGAAACATTTAATGAAGAGGACTTGAGAAAGGAATTTAGTGAGTTTGGTGATACAGATAGTGTTATAATTATGAGAGATGCTGATGGAGTTTCAAGAGGTTTTGGTTTTGTTAATTTCACGCAACCAGATGCTGCTGCTGCTTCAGTTGAAAACCTAAATGGAAAAACTATAAATGATAAGGTTTTATATGTTGGGAGGGCCCAGAAAAAGGTTGATAGAGAGGCTGAGTTGAAAGCGAATTTTGAACAGGAGAGAAATGGACGATTGGAGAAGCTTAAGGGTGCTAATTTATATCTGAAGAATCTTGATGACACAGTGAACGACAAAATACTTCATGAGCTTTTTGCTCCGTTTGGCAAAATTATCTCCAGCAAAGTAATGAATTATGATGTGATGGTTTCTTCATACAATTTTCTTGAATATGTTGTTTGTTTCATTTTAACTTTTTACTGCATATAGGTCATGCTTGATTCACTTGGGCAAAGCAAGGGTACTGGTTTTGTGCAGTTCTCCTCGACTGAGGAAGCTAATAAGGCTGTAAGTAATTTCAGGATTGCCTTGTTTTAAGCTACTAAGCTTCTTAGGTATTTTTATATTGTCAAACATGTGGATGTGCTTCTCAGGTAAATGAGATGAATGGGAAGATGATTGGGAGGAAGCCATTATACGTTGCAGTAGCTCAGCGGAAAGAAGAAAGAAGGGCTAAACTGCAGGTATAAACTTAATTGTAATTATTGTGGATTGGTGATATTTTAGTCAATCTTTTTGTGTTTGGTTTGATTCTAATTACTCGCAATCCTAAATTTTAAACTTTTATGAGTTTAGTCACCAAACTTGCTTTTGGTCATGCTCAGGATTGTGGAAAGTTTCTATGTCTTTAGTTTTTGCATGCAAAATCTTAGATCATGTCTTTTGATTAATTTTATAGTGCTTCAATCTGAACTGAACTTCTTTCATTCTTAATAGTTCTACAGAATGTTACAACCCCTCAGTTTGTCGTTTCATTTTTATATGGTCCTCAATTAAATTGTACGTTCAGTCAACTTCAAGATTAATAATACCTATTCTAGGCTGAATGATGCTATGTTACTTTTGAGTTCAATGTAGTTTGATAGGTCTGGAATCTTTATCAAACTAAATGTGTGAAGTGCTGAGCATGGTTAATTCAGGTTTTAGGATGATTATCAACTCTCCATTCTTAATCTCATGCGCAGAAGGTACCTTAGGTTTCCTTAGACTAAATTGGTGGTAATGCTTATTTTCCGATTTTCATTAATGAATTTCTTAAAATATTGTTGCAACCTTGCTTTCTCCAAAATGTTAGTTTTAAAATTTGCATGTCACTAAACTAAGTACCAAAGATGAAATCAACATCGGTTTGATCATATTCATCGTATAGATAATCTTAATAGTGAATAGATAATTCAGTAAGGGTTGCATTATCATATTTCTCGATCAATTCATCAACAAAGTATATATGATTAGTTTAGCTTCAGTTTTAGGAATAAGCTCACTTTCTATTGGAAGTTCAAATTCACATCTGGTATAATTGATGCGGACATCCAACTGTCCATGCCTATTCGAGGAGGAGCTGAAGATCAACGATCGAGATCACTTTGTTTTATTTTAGTTTATTAAGTGTATTTTGATTTAATTGTGCAATTTCCCTTTTTACCCTCTTGTTTTATGTAAGCCCAAGGGGCAAATGTGTCTTTTAATTTCTTTTGAGGCCTATATATAGAGGTCCCTTCTCATGTATTAGGTATGATGGAATTCTACATCAATAATGCTCATTTTTTATTAAAATTTCCAACTTTGACTCGTGCAAGCATAGATTCAAGTTTAGAGAACCAAACTATAGATATAATTGCCTAGTCTATTAAATAGAGAACCAGATGTTTTGATTGCAGTACATGAAAATGGAGATAATGGAGGGCCATTTAGTTTGATGAAAATTGAATATAGAGTATTCAAAATATAAGAGTTTTAAGAATTTTGGTGTTTAATTTGATGAAAAAAGAATATAGAGTAAAATTTTGATGAACTTCAAATTCACTCAGTATTTTAATTATGATGTATTAAAAAGTCGCACGTTTTTGGCTAAGCTAACTCTACTGTAAACCACTCCCATTGCCCAATGTTGACAATTGCTGCCCGCGGCCGTCTAACGTTGCCTGCTTGCGCCGTGCCCACCACTGGTGTCACTGCCTCCACTAGTATATGTTGGGTCCCGTCGCCTATTTCTATGACTATCACCCGCTATCACCCACACCATGATGTAGAACGGGTAGGGAAGTAGTGGCAAGAACAAACTCGAAGCGCCCTCCCGAAAAACCTGAAATAATTCCTTCTAGAAATTTGAAATATATTCAGATTTCTTTCAGAAATTTGCTGCAGCTTTGGGAGGAAGAGGGCTTGATATTGTATGAATTTGGAGAGCTTTAGTGGAGGAATTCCCACGTGATGGTCTTGAAAAATTCGGCCAGCAGATTCAGCTTTTAGAAATCTTTTAAAGGGGTAAATTTGCACTTATGGAGAGATTTCAAAAGCCAATTAATTTGGGGAGGGAGCCGGCTGTAATGGAGAGATTTTCTTTAGGTTTTCATATTCAAAACCTGAGAAAAATCTTCAGCAGAGGGTGGCGTGTGGGCCTTGAGATTTTCGGAATTATTTCCAGTACGTGGAAGACTCTTTGCGGGAGGAATTGTGGGCAGGATTTGAGATAATACAGCCAGCAGTGAGTTATGATGGAAGTTAATTCCCAAAGTAAAAGGAGGTGTTTTAGGAAAGATTTGAGCGGTGGTTAATGTAGCCGGCAGGAGGTAGAGAGGGAAAATAGGGATTTAATTCCATAATACACTCAGTTTTGGGAAGGAAATAAAGAGGTGGAGCTGTGAGGGATTAACGGCTTGGGATTTAATTAATGTCAGGGAATAAAAATGGAAAATCCTTTGGATTTTGAATCTGTAACAGAGGTTTGAAATTCAAATAGTAATTTGGTGTTTTAAAGCTCTTAGATTCAAATTTTGGAGTTATGAAAGTGAGACAAAAAAAAATCAGATTTGAAATCAAATTTCAAAATCGATTTCAATTAAGCACTTTCCAAAAATAGATGAACCAAATTAGGAAAGAATTTGAAATTTGAATTTGAATAATTTCAAATTCAAATTAATCCCTAAATTAACCCAACCAAATTAGAAAATCCCAAAGAGGGTGGAAGGAGTTCGGCCGGCGACTAATGAGGTGGAGCCGGCGGCATGGTGGAAAAAGGAGACGACGGCTTGGAGATGGAGAAGATGAAGGTGGACGTAGGTAGATGATGAAGATGAAAACTGGAACAATAAAAAGGAACAAAAACAAAGATAAAAGATAAAATGAAAGAGAGAACATAAAAACCGCGAGCCTTGGACTTTTCCGAAGATTGACGGGTGATCCGTTTTCCCTTCTCCAAAGGACTTCACGTCACGAGTCTGGACCCATCCTGCGGCTGGTGAAGACTTCGATTCCTCTCATAGGAATCCCACTAACGCTCTCTCACAAGAAGAACACAAGTGTGAAAAATAATTTTTTCATATCAATTAATTCATCATCCCTTTTACAATAGCTTAAGCCATATATATAGGCCACAACATGAGAAAGAAAACAAAAATTACAAAATTGCCCCTTGGGTCACAACACTCAAATAAACTAACTTAGGGGTAAAACAGGAAATAACATAAAATAAAAGCTAAAATTCATAAAATAACTCTTAAATGACAATTTAAATTATAGCCGTCGATTTACGACGCCTCCTGTGATAGATGCGTCAAATCTTCGTGCCGATGTCCGGATCACACCACCATCGGTTACCAACCACCCCTATCGTTGAACTTTACACTCCATTCATTTTACTCCAAACAAAAATAATAATTACTTGCATTTTTTTATGTTCTCATCCAAATAACTTCAAATATATTACATTTCTTTTAAATTGTATTCCATTTTGCTCTTCATTCTTTTTTGAACAGACAAACCTCTTAGTTAAAAAGGATTTAAGTGTTTTTAGAAATTATGATGTGAAAGTTTTTAGAGAAAAAAATTTCTTAGGATAAAAAGGGATGTTATGATGAAGTATACATTATATTCTTTGAATTAATAAAAAGTGAAATTAGCTTTGAAGAAAATACATAAAAACAAAGCTTTAAATTCATATGAGATCACATTGAAATTTTGATAGAATGTTTAGAAAATTACCACATGAAATCTTGAAGACTATGATGGCGGCACTAAATAGTGAGGGAAGCATTATTTTATTTCAAGTTTGTTCTGGTAGTAGTTCTAGGAGAAATACACTTATAAGTTGTATAATGAATCTTTGAGAAAGCCAAATAGAACAATAACTAGAAAATTTACATCAATTTTAGATTATTAAATTTAGCTTTATGCTAGGAGATTAACTTGGGAGATAATCTTTGTTCTAATGCTTGTAATAGAAAATTATAGAAAACTACAAAACAATCTTTAGCTGATTTTTTTAATTTAGAAAATATTGGAGTAGCATGATAATTCATTTTATGATTACGAAGGAGAATGGAATGTATGAAGGTATGTTGAAGTGTTGTTATATAGAACTATTATGGAAAATGTCAAATTGTAATAATTGTTTTGGTTTGATTAAAAAAATTCGGTCAGAATTATGTTATAACAAGGATCTCATTAAGTCCTATTTTATATTGATTATGGAGAAATTTGTAAATTATATTTAAGCTGAGGTGCCTCGTTTTCTGTGTTTTGTTGATAACATAGTTTTAAACTATAAGATATTTATGTAAAATAAATATTGGAACAATACATAAAGTTTTTAGACAGAAAGGAGCTTAGAATTGTGGAACAACAAGTGATTATCTTGAGTGTGCAAGCTTTTATTATTGATTTTATTCTACATTTTAATCTGCTAGTTATATGATACAACATAATTAAATTTGAAGTTTGTCATTAATTTATGATTTACTCTAATTTTTTAAGCTATTATAAGATGCTTTATAATAATTGTTATTATTTAATAATTTTTTTTTGGTAGTTCAATAATTTTATTAGTGAGATTTACCCACATACCATTGAAATCTACTTTATTTACAATATTTAACCTATCCAAAATAAAGAACTAGCAAACCCATTTATTTGCTCATATTTAATTTTCCGTCTAGCTTTATTGATTTTTTTTTTCTTTTCTTTCCAGGCTCATTTTGCTCAGCTTAATGCTCCAGGGGCGATGAATCCTCCAATGCCTGCTTTGCCTGGTTTTCACCCTGGTCCACCTAGGCTTCTTCCGCAGCAACTTTACTTTGGCCAGGGAGGGGCTGGACTGGTGACGCCACAACCTGCTGGCTTTGGCTTTCAGCAGCAAATTATTCCTGGAATGCGCCCAGGTGTTGCCACAAATTTCATGATGCCTTATCATCTTCAAAGACATGGACAACCTGGGCAGCGGATGGGTTTTAGGAGAAGTGGAATTTCACAGCAGATGCAGCAGCAGGTAGAAAGCTCTCTTCAGATGATCTTGTTTCTATTAGGTTCTGTTCATGCTTTACTTTTCTATATCTTTGTTTGGCTGAATCTTCTATCCAGTTTGATTGAAATTCCTAGCAAGTCAAGAGTGAGTTGGAAAGATGTGTTTGAAATTCCTAGCAAGTCAAGAAATGCAGGCTCATGTTGATGATTTATTTTGTGAGCTTAACATTTAACGGCCTACTTCTAGTTTTATAATCATTATCATCCATAGAAAGAGACTTTGATTGTTCTTTTCCCTTTTTACCTTTTTAGGAATAATGAGTTATAGTAAGTTGAATGTAAAGAAACATTTTACGACAGGGTCTCTCTCTTTAGGAGCCTATCTTGATTGTCATACTTCTGTTTTGACACTGGGTGTTATTTGATGTTTTTAGATTATTAATTTCTGTGCTTTAAACAATAACTTGAATCTTTTGTAGGATATAGATGACGACACCTTTTTTAGGGTGGATAGAAAAGTAGCGCTTCAAGATTGTTATGCAATCCAGAAATATTATGGAGGCTAAGCTAAATTTTGCTAATCTTAATTAAACTGATAATGTCCTAAAAGCATTCACCAAATCGTGTTTCATCAATGTGGATTCTATTGAGAGAGTATAGATGGTGGAAAAAGTAATTTAGGTGTGTAAAACAGATTGAGAAGATTCACCAACAAGATAGGCATATATAATTAATGTGAAAGGATTTTTGACGTATAATGATGATGATAAGAAGCTGTGCAAAATAGAAATAAAGCCTCATATGCTGCTCAATCAGAGTGAATAAATAATCATAAAGAGATTCCAACTAGTTGGGATAAGGCTAATGATAATGATAATTATTATTTCTTGATTTTATGAGAGGCTAAGGTTTTGTTTGGGATGGCTTTCTTAATGCTTTCTAAAGTAGTTTTTCAGTATAAAAATTTTTTACATTAGAAATTTTTGTACTAAAAAGCTACTTTATAAAGCATTAAGAAAGCCACCCATAACGAAGCCTAAGTGCTTGAGAAGTGCTACATCTTGTTGAGTTTGTTGTTGTTTCTACTTGTAGGTATCAAAACTATTTAATGATATTATATTTCCTAAATGACATTCTTTTACTATTTGCATTAATTTCCCACCCTTTATTTTGTGTCAAAAACAGTTCAACCATAGGAATGCTAATCAAGGCTTCAGATACATGCAAAACACTCGTAATGGTGTTGATCCATTGGTGCCTCAGGGCCTCATGGCTCCAGTGATGCCTTTGTTAATTGAAGCAAACAACGTCTACACTCCTCCCGCCGATGCAGTTCGAAGCCCGATTCCAATATCGGCGCTTGCATCTGCTTTAGCTTCCGCATCGCCCGATCAACAGCGAGTTGTAAGTCCGCTTCAAATTCAAAATTTTGATTCTACTCTCTTACTCCAATCAAACATCAAATTCATGAAAAATTATTTCAGATGCTAGGCGAGCAATTATACCCTCTTGTCGAACAAATCGAACTGGATCATGCAGGGAAGGTGACTGGGATGCTACTGGAGATGGATCAAACAGAGGTTCTTCATCTTATAGAATCGCCCGATGCGCTAAGGAAGAAGGTTGGAGAAGCCATGGAAGTTCTTCGATTAGCAAATGCAACTGGTTCAGATGCTGTGGATCAGCTTGGTTCAATTGGACTTAATGACTGAATGCATTGATGTGATTAGTTTGATTTTGACCATTTATTAGGTTTTTTGAGATTAAGTGATTGGCACCAATTTTTGTAGTGTGTTTGGTTAGAAATGCTGAGTAAGAAGAATTTATTACACGGATGGATTTAGGTTTTTTTTTTAATAAAATTTTTAATGGTGTGTTGAATGTATGGATCATTAGGTTTCAATGATTAATTAAGTTTGCTATGTTTTATTTAGTACATTTTGATTTGCAGTTTATTAGTTAAATAATTTTACCATTGTTCAAAACTTTCAGATTTGATTTGGGGGTATTATGAATTGTTATGAGAAAAATAGATATTATGAGCCTTATGAAGCTTGTTGGAATAATTAGGATCTGTTTGAAGCGATTTTAATTATCGGAAAAATAATTTAATGATTAATTAATAAAAATTATTCTAAGTATTATACTTTACTTTCTTCATAAACTTTTAATGGTTATCACATTTTTTGAATTTAATTATGAAAGGTTTTATTTGAGATTATTTTTTCATTACTTTTTAAAGTAATTTTTTAGGACTAAAAATTCCGGTTTAATTTTTTTTTTACTGAAATTAAGCTGCCAAGCTTCATAATAAGATATATATATAATTTCATTTTTTTTTTTAGAAAATAATTTTATCATTTGGATTATGTAAACATTATTATTTGAACTTTATTATGATCAATTGCTTAATTTATTTTGGAACTCTATTCAAAGCAATTTTCAAATGAGAGCTTGAATACACTCAGAAGCTAGGCTGCAAATTATTTTTCCAATATGGTTCAAAACTTAGGCTTCGTTTGGGACGGCTTTTTTGCCGCTTCTTAAAGCAGTTTTCTAGTACAAAATTTTTAATTTTTGTACTAGAAAACAGCTTTAAGAAGCAATAAGAAAGTCGTCTCAAACGAAGCCTTATTCTTCTCTTTTTTGAATAAATATTGATCACCATTAATTCACAAGAGGATTTTGACCATAAATTTTATAAAAATAATTCTATCATGTAAAAAAAAGCTTAGCTAATACACCTATATATCAAGATATTTTTTATTATAAAAGAGTGGGTGTCATTATCACCTAATACACCTAAAATACTATAATGTTGTTAATAAATTACTAAGAAAACTCTTCATTATGGTGAGGTTTGCAACATCAGTAGTATTCTATAGATATCAATTAGCATGATATAGCATAATATCTCTCTCTCTCTCTCTCTCTCTCTCTCTCTCTCTCTCTCTCTTATCAATCAGATTTCTTGTCCAGATTATGATCATGTAAAGAATTTGCAGCTTTTGCAACTTTTATGAAGACATCTTCCAGTGTTGCATCTGACAAGCCCCAAGCCTGTATGTTCAGCCTTCTTTTTGCTGCTTCTACTTCTCTGAATATGTCAGACAGCCTGACTCCTTGCTTAGGTAAATGAAATTTTTGGGTTCCTGATAAATGATATACTCTAATTGCTGTTGAGGATATTTGTTGCACTAATTTCTCAACTTCTTCTTCTTCATTGGAGGGGGTGGTCACTGTGAGTACAAAATAACCTCCATATCTAGCTTTTAACTGTTCAAATTAGCAGTAATAATTAAGTTCAGGAAGGTAGAAGACATAAGAGTAATTGCTAGCAATGCCTATGAACTATGATTTAGTAAATAATATAATATGATTCTGTTTTGTCAATCCAAGGAAATGAACTTGAATAATGTTTCAAAACAGTTTATAGAAATACCTCAAGTGGGCTTCCAATACATTGTAGATACCCATCCACAAAGATTCCAACACGATCACAAAGAGCCTCAGCTTCCTCCATGGAGTGGGCTGTTTTCATCCCAAAACAAAGCTTTATTAGATATAATAAAGCTGCTTCTTTTCTTATCTTACAAACAATGAAATGCTATAATTATATGACCAGCAGTATTAGGCTTCGTTTGAGGCAGTTTTCTTGCTGTTTCTTAAAGCAACTTTTTAGTACAAAAATTGTACTAAAAAGTTGTTTTAAAAAGTAGTAAGAAAGCCGCTCCAAACGAAGCCTTAGTTATAGAAAAATAATACACGATATTGAAAAAATATATATTTCCACTTCTTTCTATTCTTGTACCCAGAAATTGTTGATTAAACTTTTTTTTTTTTTAAGTTTTTTCTCAACCTGCTTATTTCTCAATTGTAGCTGGCTAATCTGAGCATTGAATCTTGAATTCAAAATTTCTCAAAGCTTAGCAACATTTCAGTTGGCCTTCAGGGAAAGGCATACCGCAATGCAAGTATCTAAATTTCTTTAATGAGATGCTAGTTTCTGGAAGAAATTTTCGATGCCTACTGTTGGTATGGGTATTCTATATATCTTTAACTTTAATAGCTGAAGCTAGCCAGTTCACCCAGGTTTAAGTTTCTTTTGGAAAGCATTTAATTGATTAAGGCTTCGTTTCAGACGGCTTTCTTATTCCTTCTTAAAGCAGCTTTTTAGTAAAAAAATTTAATTTTTATACTAGAAAGTTGTTTTAAGCAACAGTAACAAAGTCATCTCAAACGAAGCCTAAGTGACATATAGGCATGATATATACAGCAAAAGTAAAAAGAAGAAATTTGAAGAGAGATTTGTGCTGATAGCAAGTAAAAAAGAAAGAAAAATCATACTTGTGAGAATAACCGCCCTATCTTTTTTTGCCTGCTGCACAACACTCCATAGTTTTTTTCTCGATGCTGGATCTAATCCAGTACTAGGCTCATCCATATATACAACCTAGAAATTAACAGTAAGATCAACTTTATGTCATAATGATTATAAAATCAAGGAAAAATAGTAAATGATATATATATATATATATATATATTCTGCTTTTCATACTCTAGGATTGCCAATGAGTGATATGGCTACACTGAGCCTTCTCTTCATGCCGCCACTATATTGTCCAACTAGCTTGTCAGCTACACCTTTGTCTAATAGATTGACTGAATGTAAGGATTCATCAACTGCCTGCAAGTCATGAAGAATAAGACTAGCGTGTAAGTTAACTATTCCATACTTCGAAGGTTTTTTTCATCATAGTTGATGACATGATCCCCCTTTTCTATTCTATTCTTTTGTGGATTCACGAAATTTCATAACCACACTTCTCATGTTTTATCTCTACTTCGAATTCTGAATCTATATTCATATTTTTTATTAAGGTTCCTGGTTCGATGTAATATAGGCAATATTTCCTGGTTTTATTCATCCTGGCACCATTCAATAACAAGTCATAAGTATATTTATGGGAAAATATGCGATGATTGTAAAGCTAACTTACCTGCATCAATAGATCTCCTTTAAGATTCTTCAATCTACCATAAAATAGTAGGTGTTCTCTTCCAGTTAAACTGTCCCAGGTCAAACTGTAATCAAATCAACTAGTTAAAAAACATGCAAAAATGCCTAAATCTTTCTAATATTGATTATAGTCAAAATTATGAAATAATATCATAAGAATTAATTAGTATTTATGAGATAATATCATTAGGGTTTTGATTACAAGTTGCTACATTAAATAAGTTGATTTCATATTACAAAAATTAGTATACTATCACTTACTCATGTTGTGGGCATACACCCATCAAATAATGCACTTTGTCCATATCCTTGCTGATATCTATTCCTTGAACTAATGCTGTGCCTGAAGTGGGCCTTGAGAGCCCAGTCATCTGCAAACAGTTGAAAAAATTATTAGAACTGCTCTACCTGTCATTGTGATGGCCAGATCCCAGAAAGTTCTTGAAAGCCTATGTCATATCACTATATTGATTAGGCACTTAATAAGTTCTTTTAGTGTAGAAAACCTTCAAAATTATGGCGATCGGTATTGTTGATGTCTTCAATAAATAATAGATCAACTAACCATGTTTATAAAAGAAGTCTTGCCTGCACCATTAGGGCCAAGCATGCCAAAGCATTCCCTTTGAGAAATAGCCAGTGATAGGCCCCGAACTGCGTGTTTATCTGGATTTCCATCACTTCCTGGGTACACCTTTCTTAAGTTGTCACATAGAACGGCCTGGATTTTAGAGGGTTCTTGTATCAACTTTTCAACTATTTCTCTCTGTAGAAAATTGAAAGTTAGTCCAGTTAATGGCTATGAACGTCAAGAAACACAACGTAATCAAGATTGAATAATCTTAGAATCTAAATTTTAGTTAAAAAAATGTTAGATAATGTGCAAGATGCATATCTATTTACATTTGGATTAATGAATATGCGTGTAAGGGATCAAGTGCACAGAATTGGCATCTAACTATGGAAGAAATTGCACAAAAGCTTAGAGGATGTTTATAGATTAAACAAAGATAAGTTAGATTTTAACTGGCTTAGTTCGTGCTTTGCACACCAAAAAAAATCGCGTAAATTAAACGAGAGATGAATGATTACGACAATTTGCAATCATTAATTAGATGACGGAATGATTATGATAATCACATCAGCAATTACTGAACTCACGGTGCTTGCAATGTGTTTATAATAAAATTGGGTAATTAATTTTGGCTTAATTGCTGCTAATTAAGTCAATGAGCATCACAAACTAGAGCTAATGATTATGACGGTTTGCACTTGTTAGTAAGCTGAAGCAATGATTATGCTAAGTCACATTTACTGACTTCATAGTGCTTGTTATGTGTTTACATCAAATTTGTAATTAATTTGGTTGAACTCTTGTTGAAGGTTAATCTTCATAAGTATGATTAATTTTTAATTAATGATAATAACTAAGTAATTAATTTTGTTAAGAATCGGGCTAATGCATTAAATTCATTTTACATATTTTCAACTAATTTCATAGTTCTATGATGAATTCTTAAATTGTTTTTTAGATCATGATAGTTTCTTTTAAAATACAATAACAACAACAAGCTTTTATCCCCCTATGTGGGGTCAGCTAATAGTTGCTTTTAAAATGAAAACAAAAAGATTGGGTTTAAGCTCATTAGATCCCAAGCTCTAACATTCAACCCCTTTTTTCTCCAGCCACTAGATCAATCACAAGCTTGTAGCTTTAAGAGCAGCATCTCACGAATCATTAACAACCCTAAATATAGTCATAGTGCTTTTGAGTTCTCTCATACTCACAACTCCTGCATTGGTGCCCTTCAGCATATGCAACTCCTAGTTCTTGCAAGGACGTATCTCAATGTCAAATTCTTCTCATGCAATGTATAGTGCCTTCCGCAAAGAGAAGGAAATTATGGCTTTGACGAACATGATTTGGACCCCTTCTCCAACTGACTTATGCCTCTTCATTGGAACCTTTAAGTACACGTAATTTTCTGTGTCTTTTATCTGATTAAGTTGTTGGAAGTAAAAAGAAGAAATTATTATGTCAACCACATCTGCTTATTCTCCACACACGGACATCCAACATGTAGTCTAAAATGGGAACATGATTGATCATCCAATCATTAAGCAATAGTTGTAAATTCTCTTGAGCAAGTTCAAATAAAATTAAGTGCAAGAACAAATTTATAAGTTTTGATAATCTTCAAAAAAAAAAAAAAAATCGTATGGAAGATTATGCTACCATATGAAGAAGACATTGAATGTCCTTAAAATATATTAAAGGATAGAGAATCCCTATGGATAACCAAGGGTTCATTAGTAATGCATAAGCACCAATGATTGTATCAAGCACATTTATAATGGTGCCAATAGACCATCACACATGTTGGTGGATTGAAAAGTGTGCCAATGCAATATAGCCTCTAAACTGTCTCAAATTCAACAGCGTATATTTTTGGGAGATCATTGGGTAACTCAAAAAAACTACAAAGACATCTTGAACCTAACAAATCACTTAAGTGCCATTCAAACATCTAATTAGTATAATGTACACAGTGTGGTAACTCAAATGCATTCAATATTGAATCTACTGATAAGCATTTAGGCCAAAGACTCAAGTTTGACCTTATGATCTCTAAGTTGATCCAAGGGACTTGATGTGTTTGTTTCAATATGTGTCTTTAAAATATGCGCTACATCCAAGACATAAACTAAATCAACTAAAGTAATTAGGCCACCTTACCTATAAAGCAAGGCTATAACCAAACGCTAAGTTGTTCTCATCCTCAAGGTTGTAAGTCCCAAGTTTGGGCCTTTTAATGATGCAAGCTCTATCTCAATTAATGGGTTGACACAAAGTAGTCAAGCCTATTAAAAGATACTTAATTTTCAAAATTATAGTGGATGTAAGCCCCAACCCAAATTAAATTAGAGCTTATGAGAATATTAACAATCCCATCATACTAAAACTCATACGCATTTAATAGTCATGCCATATATCAAACTCTTAGAAATAATGTCCAATGTCTCTAAACTTCAAATGTCCATGCTATGTAACTCTAAACTATTCAATGAAACAGCATGGCAAATCCTCTACCAATAAACAATTTGGTGTCAATCTTAAAAGCACATACTTGACACACGCATACATTTCTAACCTAGCCTACTTAGGATAACTTTGATTAAGTAACAATGGTTGTTAATTAGGCTCTTTAGACAGTATGACTGAAAGCCCACTAACGTTGGTAGAACGTATCAATTGAGAAGTCTGAGATGACAAAACAATGAGAATTTAATACAAAATCTGAGCTTAAACAATCATTTTAATTGAGAGCGCTCTCCCATGAGCAGATACATAACTACTAATATGGGTTTGCCAAGCTCCAATTCTAAACATTTGAATACATTCCATGAGCATTTTAGAAAAAAAAAAAAATCTGAAGCTGAGAGTAGTTATTTTGTTTTCTTGACTATCTTAGTTAATAGTGGAGCTTACCTCTTGAGCAACATCTGGTTTATCCATATTAATGAGAATATCATATCCTTGTCTTTGCTTATTTCTATTTGTCTTCCCCTGAAACTTTGATAAAAACCAAAGTGGATGTTTTCGAACTCCCTTACCATTTGAAACAACTTGATCCAAGTAATATGCAAGCAGTACGAGTGTTGCCCATTCTACAATCATGATGATCAAAACAGCACGCATCCCTTGCTTGTCATTATTAATGTCCTTCCAACCCACATGAGGTGCTCCAAGAGATTCCACACGAAGAGAATATTGAGCAAGTTCATAAAAACCACGGTATAGGGAAAAGCCTGGGAAAATCTCCATAACCTCAAGTAGTTCTCCTGCAAAAAATGGTAAGATGCATGGATTGATGAAAAAGGATAATGTTTCATATGAGCATAAGTTCAGCAGTGTAGCTTACTTGGATAGGAGGCATCTTCAACAAAGCGCTCAAAAATGGATGATCCTAGAAGGCCTGAGATAAATACATACAAGTATCCAACTACTGCAAGTGGAAGCACCATGTCAAAATCATACTTTTGAAACCAGATTTAGCAAAGTTTTGATATTTTCCTTTTTGAAATACCTGTAGCAGTTTTCACCCTTGAGAACAGTGCAGAGGATGAAATTGCTAGAGAAATCTGCAAATTGATGCATACAAAGTAGAACACGAACTGGAGACTGTACTTATTTAAGGTGAATATTTTTATGCCTGTAAAAAGTATTTCAGTTTACAAAGACAAATAAGACAATAAGGAAATGCATTAGGAAGCTAGCTTTGTTGAGTTCATCGATAGAACATACCAATTAGGGAACCAAACAAGCTGAAACATAACATGTAAGATGCTGACAACAATAAAAAATATGCATAGGAAATTATCCAGTATGGAAGATCACCAAGGCCATGCATTTTCATCATCATTCGCATATTATTTTGCTTTTCATGAACAAGATAAGTCAACATTACCTGCACACATCAGATCAATCAAATCGGTTCTGATAGAGATAATATAATCGTTGTTTAAATTATAAATTCCCAAGGCAAATACATTTCAGTTTCAACAATATTTGTTCTGTTCTCATGCTTGGACTAGTAAGAAAAGAGTTTAGTTTTAGAAATATAGGAATGATTCTTCTAAGGAAATAGAAATATGGTGAATGAACAATAATATAATCAGTGAAAACTTTTAGATTGGATGCATCTCAAAATAATAATTACGACACGACTTTTAGGCTTACCGGAAAAAGCAGCTCAATGACCCATGTGAAAAACAAGGGGCTAAGAAGAGTAGAAACATTTATGATGCCTGGTTTTGTTGCACCTTTAGGCATTTCTTTGACGAATTCAAGCAGCATCTTCACATTATCTCCTTTGAAAAATTGAAGATATGCATTTGCAGCCTGCTAATACAATAGGGGTATCTTATTCACTGTTTCCAAATAGATGTCGTACAAGCTTCTAAAAGAATCCAATATAATTGATGCCATGTAAATATAAAACATATAATTTCATAGCATAACTAGCCACATTAACTAAATAAAGATATGTGTTGATTGACAGGTGTAGTAGAAGAGCCCTTTCTACGTTTCAATTTCAGAACTAAACCTCTTAAACTACAAAATAAGAATAATCATAATGTAGATGAATGAGGTTTGGCATGAATCAGTATTTATTCAAAGGATTAAAAAGGAATGATTTTTTTATTTAGGATACCTATGTCGGCTTGTTATTACTCATTCTTGTCTGTCAATTATATCAAATTATGTTAGCTTTTCCACGATTCAAGTAGGTTACTAAATGTACAATAAATGAAAAGGAATGGATACTAATAAACAACAGGTGTAGTACATGTGTAAATAATATATATTATAAAGATGAAATTTATTTTTGTGTAGATTGGTGTGTACATTTAACCTATGACATGATGAACATGTTCGTAATCTTACTACATGATCTATTACTTTGGTGTTTATTTTTTATCATATCTTTCTCCGCCCCCTATAGGTGATGCTTCCGTATTGAGTTTTAGTGTTTTAGTTACAACAAATTTCCATCAGAGCATGGCAAAGATCAATGGTCATGAAATTTGAGAACAAGAAGTTTTATTTGTCAAAGAGTTTTTTCTTTTAGAGAACCAACATGCAAGACATTTTGATTTAGCATGGTAAGTGAAGAAGTCAAAGCAATGATAGATGAAAATCTCTTTTAGCAATCTGATTGTGTTCGGCTAACTAGATATTGATAGAGGTCTTGGATTAAAAATCCTTATGGAAAATAACCACACAAGTGTGGGTTGTGGATTGATCAAAAGTCTCTCCAACATACTCCATCAAAAGCCAAAAGCCTTTTTTTTCACATGCAGAAAGGTACACCTATTATCAAAATTCATTATCACATTTAATTCAACTGTTGTTGATTTAAGAAATACCGATGTAACTGTTGATTATGTCAATCAAGCTCTATAATTGTTGTGTTCTTCAAAATTTAAATTTTAAGGGAGAGGAGGTCGACTTCGGGTATTAGTTTGAATGGAGGAGGTGCCTTGAATTTTGGAAGTGGCTCCAATCAAACATTGTTTTTGTAGAATATACCTTGAATTGTGTACATTGAACTTGAATTTAGCCTTAAAAAGTGGAGGAAGGCCAGCCACTTTGAATTTTGAATGGGATGGGATTTGGCAAAATGAATCTTAGATGAGAATGGTTCAACCAATTATATCCCAACCACGTGCCTAACTTACTTTTGAGCTTTAACCATCCTTCTTGTCATTTTTGAAATTTAACCAGCTTCTGAATTAACTTTGAAACAACTTTTCAAACTTCTGAAATTTTAAAACACAGTAATTATAGGAATAAAAAATCATGCAAAGTGTTGGAAAATAATATGATTGACCTTATTGATATTGTGATGCTATTATAATATGATTGAGGTGGTCATCCGTTCAAATAAGAAAAATGAAATTCAAATCTCCATTGCATCCATATGGTTCATTATATTCTTACTTCTAATGGTTATCATGTGTTGCATCAAAATAACTAAAGTTGCTTATGAAGTGCACAAATATTTGGGTCACTAAAAAATCAAACTCATGTTGAAGATGCTTTGATCATACAAAGAGTTGATGTCATATCAAGCTTAAAAGTGACATTGCTCTTGACTATTCAATGGTGGCCCTAGGGGAATTAATGCAATGCATTGATTCTAATAAAAAATCATGGTCAAACTAAATTTAGATTGATGCAAATCGGTTCATGAAATCAAATTGTATTTATTTATTAGGTTTTTATTAGTTAAATGTTATCTTTCTTGAATAATTTGGTTTTGAATTGAAAACAGGGGGGGAAAGCACAAGGTGGCCGGCGGCTTTGCTTCTTGGATTGGACGGTGGCAAGGGCAAGGGAAAAGAGGAAGAAATGGAGATTTCAAGGCTTCGACGACTACGGATTTACTAACCTCGATTGTCTCCACGTTGATTTTCCACAAGATGAGATAATTCGAAAACTAGAACTCACAAAGAGATCTAGTCTTCTCCGGCGAACTAGAACTCACTAAGAGATCTAGTTTCCTCCGGTGAACTCACTAAGAGATCGTGGGAGAAGATGAACTCACTAAGAGAACAAGAGTAAATTTTCATTTCATCAATAACTAAAATTACATGAGAAAATGGCCATATAAATAGGCCTCAAAATGACAAGACAACAAAAGACTAAAATGCCCCTCGGGCTACAATAACGACCAACTACCCATAAGGGCAAAAACGGAAAAACATAAAAATCAAATAAACTACTACATAAAATGATGAAAATAAAGGTCATGATCGTGGCCGTCGATCTCCGGCATCTCCTGATGGTACATGTGTCGCAATCTCTAACGATGTCCCCATCACAACTGTTGTTGATTTAAGAAATACCGATGTAACTGTTGATTATGTCGATCAAGCTCTATAATTGTTGTGCTCTTCAAAATTTAAATTTTAAGGGAGAGGAGGTCGACTTCGGGTATTAGTTTGAATGGAGGAGGTGCCTTGAATTTTGGAAGTGGTTCCAATCAAACATTGTTTTTGTAGAATATGCCTTGAATTGTGTACATTGAACTTGAATTTAGCCTTGAAAAGTGGAGGAAGGCCAGCCACTTTGAATTTTGAATGGGATGGGATTTGGCCAAATGAATCTTAGATGAGAATGGTTCAACCAATTATATCCCAATCACGTGCCTAACTTACTTTTGAGCTTTAACCATCTTTCTAGTAATTTTTGAAATTTAACCAGCTTCTGAATTAATTTTGAAACAACTTCTCAAACTTCTGAAATTTTAAAACACAGTAATTATAGGAATAAAAAATCATGCAAAGTGTTGGAAAATAATATGATTGACCTTATTGATATTTTGATGCTATTATAATATGATTGAGGTGGTCATCCGTTCAAATAAGAAAAATGAAATTCAAGTCTCCATTGCATCCATATGGTTCATTATATTCTTACTTCTAATTGTTATCATGTGTTGCATCAAAATAACTATAGTTGCTTATGAAGTGCACAAATATTTGGGTCACTAAAAAAATCAAACTCATGTTGAAGATGCTTTGATCATACAAAGAGTTGATGTCATATCAAGTTTAAAAGTGACATTGCTCTTGACTATTCAATGGTGGCCCTAGGGGAATTAATGCAATGCATTGATTTTAATAAAAAATCATGGTCAAACTAAATTTAGATTGATGCAAATCGGTTCATGAAATCAAATTGTATTTATTTTATTAGGTTTTTATTAGTTAAATATAAATGTTATCTTTCTTGAATAATTTGGTTTTGAATTTAATTAGATTATAAGATAATAATTTCATTTGAACTAAAGATAAGTTTGTTTTCTATTTACACTTTAATCCATTTTCTAAAATTAGGGTATATATGATGTTAATTTAATTATAATGAATTAAAATTAGTATTTTGCTTCCCCCCCCCCCCCCCCCCTCCTCTCCTCTCTGCTTAACTGTGTTTTCACTTCTAGCGTATCTATTATCCTAATATACTCATGTAATTCTACCAATTGCAAGATAACTATGTTTAAATAACATTTTTCACAGGGCAAAATGCTATACCCCCATAAAAAAATTCACACAATCTCATGTCACATCATCTGATCATCATTTTATTAGGTGCACCCAAAAAAAAATCTTCACAAGCAAAAGTGCATGACATTTGCCAAATTTGCTTTTTTTCCACCTATAAAAGTGGTATCCAGACGAATTTTTTATGTAGATTTTCTTCGTGGTAAATGATAACTCCAGCAGCTTGCCTTCCATTTTCCTTGTAGAATCGAAACTCCCATTTATTCCTCTCTTTCCAATTCTTCTCTTCAATTCTTTCTTAATCAAAAGTGTAAAATCAACAACATTCAAGGAAGACGATAAGTTTCAAGAAGAAGAACTCCGAGATCTCCATCAAAGTTGTCACATCTATTCATGGTCAAGCGAGTAGGGCAAATCATCCAAAAAGCAAGCATAAGGTTTCTTCTACACATGCTTTAAGAAATGCATGTCCTGCTTATTGAGGATATGCTTAACTTAAAAAAAACATTTAAGGGTCCAAATACTGAACATGTTTGCTAGTGGTACTTAAAGACTTTATTTATCTTAATTAATCTTAATGCTGCTTAATCTTCATGTCATAATGATTTTATTGCCATCTTAATTTTATTGCCATGATGTGGGATTGCTTGCTTAGTTCTATGTGTATTCCTAGTGATGTATTCTGCTATGCAAGCATCAACTTTACTTATCTGATAGGACTGGACTGATTCTCATATTTAAGAATAATATCAAGAATAAGCTAGTGCAATAGATTTTTTGGTTGAGAAGCTCCTGCATTGTTCAAATAATTGCATAATTCACTTGAAATTATAAATTCTTTTGTACTGATGAACATAACATACCGCATTTGAAGCACGAGAAATTCGAAGGAGAGGCCCAGTGTTCTTGTAAGTCTCGTTATGCCATATGGTGACATTGAAAATATTGCTGTTAGTGTTGGAGAAATCATAAGCTGCTCCATGAAAGAGCTTGTTAATCCAAGTAACTACAAGGGAAAACTAAACATTTTACCAATAAATGCTACATTAAAGTTGAGAAATCAACCTGCAAGTATTTCATCAATTCTACGGTTGGGGTTCCCCATTTGGTAACCCATAGATAACTCTTTGTTTATAACTGAAGAATTTTCACGCCAAAGGGAGAGTCCATCCACACACTTTACATCTGCAAGCAATTCCGTCACACCATCTTTTTTTGTTTATACATGCAAAAATTAAAAAAAAAAAACAAAACAAAACTTTGGAGCTCTCAAGAAACAAACCTTGCGAAAGAGAAAGCCCACCCATCTTGATTGAGACAGGAAATGATATGTTTGAACTGCATTTGGGATGAATAATGTAAAGAGGTGGACTAAGCATCATGAAAGCTGGTTCGAAGTAAAATGTGCTTGGAGGAAATGCAGTTGTTCCCTGAGAAGAGATTTTAAAAGCAAAGTGTAACATGTTTTTTTTTTTTTTAAATTTGTTATCAAAACCAAGTGATATAGGATATAACAAACTTACCAGCATAAATTCAGATGCCACGACTAGAGGGTTCACAGAATCTGAAGGGTTCTCCAAAGTTTTGCTTCCAAAAAGATTTTTCCCTATGTCTGTTATTTTCTCTAGTGTATTAGAATTTGGAGATTAAATTACTATCATCACTTCAAGATACATGATGAGCAAGATACTTACTCTTTGCAAAAGTGCGGTTTTGCCCAGTGATGAGTATGGTTACAGGACAAGATCCATTTTTTCGACAAGAATTATCTGGCAGGCCGGAATTGTAATTTGAAGAAGCAGGCGAGCTGCTTCTTTTAGTTGCACGAAACTGAGTCATTGGTATCTGAAATAGAACTGGCAACTGTGGTGGGTGTGGTTCTGGGCAATATGTAGACTTGCCTACTATCATATCAAAGACATTAGAGCATTTTTTATCACAAGATTCTTGACTTTCATCATCGATGCATTCACCACAATCACAATGTATCTCAGGTTCAACTGCAATTATTGCAGCTAGTTTTTGAATGCTAAACAACAACAAGCACAGCAAGAGTGGGATGATAATAAGTCCCAGATTTGTTCTGATGTTTCTTCTCTGGATTTATATGTGCAGTGGAAAGAAAGAAAGAGGCCTTATATCAAAAGAGGAATTCCATAAAAAGAACAAACAAAAGTAAGAGATGAAGTAAAGATTGAAACTGAGACCTGGAAGGTTAGGTTCTTCCTCATGAGTGCATTCAACTGAGCCCAAAAGCTTACAGGTTTCAGTGATACGTCAGTATCCATTGAGCTTTCTTCGTCCCAGGAAGTAATAAAACTGCACATGTACATAATATATAGATTAAAAAACCCACAAAGCTCAAAAAATTATTTATTCTCGCATATCATAATAAGCATGAACATTATATCAGAGCAACCATCCATTAAATTTATCTAACATTTTTTAGCCACATACGCTTCTTAAAAACAATTAAAACATCTTTTGAAAGATGAAAAATGTAATGTGTAATATCCCGAAACCGAAGAAGGTTGGTTCTGCGCAGCTGTAGTTGAGGAAACTGAAGGAGACGATGAAGTTGAAGGGGACGACTTACCTTGCTCTCGCCCAAGGAGACGGAACGCCCCAAAAATGAGCTCGTCGGTTGGGTCGAATTTGAAGTTTGGAGTCGTGGGAAGAAGAATGGCGTTCCGCTCTGATCCTTTAAGTCGCGTCGAGACAGAGAATAATAAACACTTCGGGGCTGTTTGGTATCGGATTTACAGCGGGATTTAAGTCGGATTTACGTTAAATCCAGCCAAACGGTTTTGTGCGCGCGTTAAATCCCGGCGATGGTAAATCCCGGATTTAAGGATTTACGGCTTAAATCCCAGATTTACTAAATCCCTTTAGTTCGGCGGATTTATGGGATTTGGCCGAAGAAGCGCGCGAAAGGTAGAAAGTTACCTTCACAGCCAGCGAGCTCCCCTTGCTGCTTCCGATAAAAATGTCGTAACTTTCTATCCGACACAGGAAGAGAAAGTCGTCGAAGGAGCAAAGCCGAACAGCCACGAAGGAGCCAAAGAAGCGACGCGAGCAATCTCTACACCTCCTGCGAAGCAACGAAGCTGAACAGCAACCAGAGAAGATTGAAAAAACGTTGGTTCAGACAAGGAAGTTTTATGAGGGAGAAGCATATATAAAAAGTTAAAGGGAAAAATGAAAAAAATAGTATTATTTCAAACGTTAAAGAATAATAATTTAATGTTTTTTAAATGAAATAAACTCAAAAAACGTCCAATCAAAAGCCTAAGTTATTATTGATTAACTTAATTAATATAATTTAAAATATTATTATTAAGTAAATTAATTAAATAAATAATAGTATAATCAGTGCATAAATTAATTATCTAATTTAGCATCATTGAATTAAATATTAATATAATTAGCTTAAGTAATATAACTTTATATATATATATATATATAATTGATAATTAAATAATAATTAATGAATAATTTGTATTTAATATATTATTAAATTTATAATACATTAAATTTATTTTTTTAATTTATAACCATCTTATTCACATTTAAATCTCTATGCTAACAAATAATTTCTCAAAATTTAATAGAAATTTGTCATTCCAAACTGTTTTCAAGATTCAACCTCAAATCGACCAATACCTAGCAATACTGAGCAATACCTAGCAAAATCGAGAAATACCGAGCCATCATGGGTCCGATCCGGATCGGGTTGTCGGGGCGCGCGGTAAATAATGAGAATGCGTAGCGCGATTCTACTGACAGCCGAACATAGAGCTAAGTCCTGTGACCCGACCAAATAAAAGTTCGTGCTGGCCAGCGCTATTGTTAACCTTTTCCTCGCGATTGCGGCCATTGCGCCAACCGTCGTTGCACAGGCCGTCTTTCACCAACGATCCTCTCTCTCACCAATGCAAAATCTGAACTCATCAATCTTCCTCTTGCCGAACCCATCAACGTTGCAGTCACCTCCAAGTCTCCATCGCCGATTGGCTACTGCAAGTGCTTGATTTTGCAAGATTTCTTTGGGATCAAACTATGATTAATTTTATAAAATGAGAAAAAATAAATATTTATAGAATTTGCAAAAAAATTATATAAAAGTAATATCTATAACTTTTCAATAAGATAATTGATAAAAATAAAATTAATAATTTTATCTTTTTATTAAAGAATAGTAATATTAGTATACATACAAATTTAGCTATCTAATTCTTTTTTATTTTAATTTTATTCGTGTGAACATTAGTATTTTACTAGTAATAATAAATTACGATTCAAAATTTTTAAATGTAATTAAAATTGTTCAAATTCAAATAAATACAAATGCAATTAAAATCTTTGAGATTTTTCTTACTTAAATGCAATCAACATAATTGAAATTAAAAATATGCAATGCAATTAAATAAATAAACTAAACATATTTGAATATAAGCATAAATTTAATTAAAATATATGCGTTTCAAAGTTAATTAAATGCAATCAATATTAATTAAATTAAAATTAGCATAAATGCAATTACATTTTTTTGGAGTTTCTAACAGTTAGTTCTTATTTAAATACAATTAACATAAGTAAAATTAAAAAGCCGTAATGCATTTAAATAAATAAATTGAGAGTATTTAAATATAAGCTTAATGCAATTAAAAGCTTTCAGATTTTCTAAGACACAGCTCTTAATTTAATGCAATTAATATATTAAAAAAAAATCTAATGCAATTAATTATAGTTTTACCATTAAGAATATGACTGAGCATAACAAATACAAGTATATTGTTTTGTATAATAATAATAATAAATTTTTATTTTCAAAAAGAAAAAAGTGAAATATAATTAATAGGCTAGTGGAATAATTATATTGCTTATTCAATATTATTTTTCGATGAGAATTATGAAAAATATCAAATAATTAACTAAGAATATAGTGTGAATTTAATTTAATAATTAAAAAAAGCTATATAAATTTCCATTTAAAGTTAAAAATTTGAATTTTCAAACTTAGATCTCAAATATAAAGTGCACTTGAGAAATTATTTTGTGTGGTCACCGAATGACGTCCAGAAGCGAATGAGAACGGGTCATGTCTTTTGTTTTTTTGTATCATTGCTGAACACCGCTCGATCAGTATTGGGTGTCGTGGTTACTTGTTGACAAATAATTGATAAAAATTTGTCAAATTTAAAAAGAAAGAATTTTAACTTACTTGATAAATAATTTTCAAATGTGTATATATATATATAAACATACGCAAGTGAAGTTTTTTTAATATGTTTTAATACCATATTAATTAATCATAAAACTAATATCATCATTTTGTAATTTGGATACAATAAAATTAAAATTAAACAAATTAACTAAATTAATGTCACTTCATGAATGCTGCTCATTCAAATGCAGAAATAGCGAATGCAAAACCATTTCGTGCTCTTCAAACATAGAAAATCCCAAATCAGATGCATTCTTTCATTTATGAAAGCAATCAGAACCTTAGACGACCTCTGAAGAGGAGTTGCAACTGATTAGCGACAAGTAAGTTCTAATAGATCACCGTCGGAGAAGAGTGGCTGGAGATCGTGAAAGGCTACCTTGGAGTGTTACCGGATAAAATAAATCAATCAACTGTGAAAGAGTTTGAAAAAATCCGTAATTGTTCGGCGAGCTTACATTAAATGTGATGAAGATTTGGAGGCGACTGGTGGGTTTGGCGAGAGAAAGATGGATGAGTTGTTGCGTTCGATGAGAGGGAGATGAGCGGAGACAACTGATGTGTTTGAAATGCTCAAGTCTACTATCCAGTGAAACGCTCGATTGAATTAGTAATCGCTTGGATGTGAAACATAAGTTGGAAAGTACGAAAATTAGGGGTGTCAATTCGGGTCAGCGGGTCGGGTTCGGGTCGAATCCGGAACTGACCCGGCACTATTCGGGTCAACCCGAACCCGAACCGTTTTTAAAAACGGGTCAGATTTCTGGACCTGAAACCGACCCGATTCGGGTCCGGGTCAACTCGACCCGACACGAATGACCCGAAGTTGACCTAAAATTGCTAATTTTCGGGTAAAAAATCGAGTCAATATTCAATTTTCGGGTCAAAATCGGGTAAAAAAAGAGTCAATCTCGGATTTTCGGGTCAAATATAAGTTTTGGTGTCACTTTCGGGTCAATTTCGGGTTGCTGGGTCAACCCGAATCCGTACCGATTTTTAAAACGGGTTGATTTGTTGAACCCGACCCGTTTCAGGTTCGAGTTGACCCGAACCCGGATTTTTCCGGGTCAGATTCGGGTCGTGTCAAAAATTGAAACAGAAAAATAATGAATATTTTTCATGGATTATGAAATGATCCAATATTGACACCCCTATATTCCTTTCACTAAGACATTTATTTTGATTATAATATAACGAAGTTTCCAACATGTTTCAAGTGCTTTTGTCTGGGCTTATTTGGATTTGGATCAATACACTTTTGATGTCATAGAGCTCGTGCCATCGAGACATTCAATTCTACTATAAGACATTTGTTTGGATGAGATCAATATTTAATTTTAAAAGTTTATAATTTAAAGTTTATATTGTGATTTTTTTTCTTTTTCTAAAGTTTGTATTATATGATTGTATTGTGATTCATATTTGATCCGATAAATATAATATTTTCATTATGCTTTGGGAATAAACTTTATTATTTACATTCCAAAATCTAATTTCTAAGAAGAAAATGTATCCGAACTTTAGGAAGCACAAATTATTATGAATTTAAAGTTGATTGTGTCAAAGCTTTCAATGCATATTTGTGGTGGACTTCTCGTATTATTCATATGTAGTTGTTTTTGTTTTTATTTTGTTTTTATTTTTTTTTTGTTTTTATTTTTATTAATATGTAGTTGTTAAAGCTTCATTTGGGACATGTTTATGACTGCTTTAAAAAGCAATAAGAAAACGGTAAAGTTATAAGAAAGTCATCCCAAACGAAGCCTTTATTTAGTAATATCATGTCTTTGATTAAAAAAATTTTTTGATGTATTTTTTTTTTATAATTTTAAAAAGTGCATTTTTAATATTAAAATCTCTTTTTTATTATTATTTTTTTTCACTTTCTCACCTAATGCTGTTTCCCACAATAACTTATAAAGATTTTTACATATCTAACACTTAAAATTATTATATTTAACTATTTAACAGTTAAATTTTACTATTTATTCTTCTACCATCTAAAAATCCTTACCCTCCTTTAAAAAAAATGCACTTCCTTGCCTCCCGGCTACCGTCAAACCCAAACGCCGAAACTGTAATTCCGAAACTTCTTCTTCGCTAACTTCTCTTCTTCCTCGCTCGGTCGGCTGATTTGTTCGTCTAGGTATGTTCTTATCCATTTCCTTATCTGGTTTTCCTGTTCGTCAAACCCATTTAGCTCGGATTTTTGAAGACCAGGTTCGTTTAACCTAAAACAATCATCGGAGACCGAGAGCTCTGGATCGGCATCCTTTCATTACGAGCGGTTTTCTGAAGACCAGGTTTGTTTATTGATTCATGTATGGCCTAATTCTTCCGTCATCTGATATTATGGATTTGTCATATCCCTAAGAATCTAGACAATTCAGCCGTATCATGAGTTCATGAGCTTGTATTTAATGTCTAGTAACTGAGAATTTAACTAAGAAGCTTATGTTGGAAATCATGTGCAGAAAGTCCTATGTCTCATGCAAACACTTGTGCTGAATGTAAATACTTCAAGTTTTGTATCAACTGTTATGTATTGCAGACATGTTAAGTTATGTTGTAAACATTTGAAATTGTTATAAAAATTTTGTGCATTGCAATCTCTATACTATTTTCAGAGTTCTGCAAAGAATTTAGACCTCATGAATGTTTTAAAAGTAAAACAGGTTAGTTCATAAGTTCAGTTGATCCTTGCATATTCTATACAAAACTCTGATGTGAAACAAAGACAATTTAGTTCCAATTTCTTCTCCTTCATTGAGTTAGTTCCAGAAATCAATAAACTCGCCTAAAAAAAGGATATAATGTTCTCCACTATGCTTACAACAGTATAAGGTTCAATATAAGAGTTCTCTTTATTTTTAACTTCTAAATAAAAACATATAATGTACTTTACAAAAAGCATATCTCCTCACAAAAAAATATTCATTAGCAGCCAAAAAGCATATATCCTCGCCAAAAAATATGCAATTTTAATTAGGAACCAGAATTACAATCTGCCCGCCGAATGGGAGAACATGAGCGACTTGAGATTTGCGAGAGGGAGAAGACGAGCGACTTGAGATTCGCGAAAGGGAGAAGACGAGCGGCGTGGGATTTAGACATTCGCACGATAGTCGACCGCTCGGTTAGGATGTCTTCGCACTGGTTGGAGAAGACGATCGTGAGATTCAAACATGAGAGAGGGAGCTGCTCCAGTAACAAGGAAGATGAGAGGTGATTCCCATGCTCTTTCAGAGTTTGGGTTTGACGGGAGACAACATAGTGTTTTTTTTTTTAATGAGGGTAAGGTTTTTTAGGTTGTAGAAGAGTAACTAGTACAGTTTAGTTGTTAGATAGTTAAATATAATAGTTTTAAGTGGTAGGTATGTAAAAACCCCTTACTTATAATATTATATTAGTTTTTATTTATTTACAATCATAGCTTCGGAGGACCGAAATTTGTGCTCTAGTTCGGCATTTCTACGCTGCATGGAGAAATCCTCGAGAAAAGCCTTGAAATCTTTATTGATTCTGGTTATCACCTCCGACTGATTGACCGCTACCAGATGTACGTTTTATTCTAATTGTTCTTCTCCTTTAAGCTTTTATGTTTCTATGATCCTTTTTTTTATTCTTGGTGTTGTGACAATTTCTGCTTGAGTTATTATGTCTTTAATCTGCGAGGTTTTTCGGGAAAGAAGGGCTACGGGCACTGAAGTGTCCAATTATAGCGTCTTTAATTCCGATTTGGTTAGGATGTAGGAGTATTCTCATCAGTTTAACTGGTTATAGTGGGAATTAATGGAAGAGGAGTTCATTGTTTTTTTTCCAATAGAATTTACCCCAAAGAGTTATATTTTTCTGTGTAAGGATCATGGATTAGTATTGTGGTTGTATAATGTTGCTCGATATTGTGAGTAGAGTTCGATATTGTGAGTAGAGTGGATAATTCAATTGTTATGAAGCGAAAAAATTACTTGCCCCAATCTATGTGACACAATTAGCCTTGAAGGGGGAATTACCAACCCAAAATTATAGGGATTCTCACCCTTGAAGAGGAATCATTTATCTTACAAACCTAGAATAAAGTAGGAATTCAGGCAATTCTAGGCTACTTGAATTTTCGTGATAATTCCCTACATATAAGCCATTAGGTCTAAGCTTTAATTTTTAGCTGTTACAAGTGGTAGATGGGGGTGGCGGAGCTATATTTGATGTCCAACATCCATGACATAATTATCCCTTTCTTTGAAAATCACAACATCACATGTTGTGATAATTTGCTTAAATAACCATGGTATGTATATAATCCTTGTGAATGCCTAAGATTGGTGTCCTTGATTTTAACATATATTAGCTAGAGAAATATCTCGAGGAGAGGGATAAAAGAAAGAGAAGGATGAGAGAGACACCATTTTTTATACCATGGAACCTCAGGTAGGCAAATAGCTAAGAATCTGTTTCTCAGGTATATGAGGATCCAAAAGAATCCTTTAAGGCTATATCAATTAGGTACTTATAGGCTGTGAGGGCCTACATAAGGAGGGAGATCATCTCATGAAATGCGCCATACATATGAGGTTTGTTATAAATAATAAGTCTTCGTTTAACACTTGGGGCACATGTCAGCTTTTAAATCAAAGTCCCGCAAAAATATAGGAATTGTAAAAATCAATTGGACACAAGTTGTTGGGTGATTTGGGGGTGCATGTCTGCCTTGGGTATGGATTTTCCAAGACCAATTATTGCTTGCCTCACTTTGCTTATGGCTTTCTCAAGAAGGCTCTCAGTTGGAGGTGTGTTGAGCTTTTGGGGATGGGCAGAGTAAGGAGTGGCGAAGCTTCATATCTATGCCATCGGCTTGGTTGTGTTGAGATTTCTCTTTGTGGTTGTGCCGATCAAGTTGAGTACTCAACAACAACAACAACAGCATGCCTTTATCATTGAAACAATAACAATATTGTCATTGTTGGGTCCTAAGCCCTGGATGAAAAAATTGAAGAGCTATGGTAGGTGATAGCGAGTGTAAAAATTGTCGAACATTCATGACATGATTGAGCTGAGTAGTGATCATTTGTCTAATCTTAAGTCTATATGATAGTTGTCCATGTTATTGGTTGGATTTTTTGTGACTAATTTTGCTTTTAATGCATATCTGGCTAAATCGAGTTAGCTTTCCCCGATGACTTTTAATCCTTTAATAACATGCAAAGACGTGTTGTATTCTTGTCTGGTGGATGGATTGGTAGAGGCCAACTTTATATCAACCTTTATCTGAATCGACATTTACAAACCTTTTTCCCTTATCATTTGTGGAAACTATAGAAGGGAAAGAGGTAGAATATAGAGTAACTGTAAATGTTGATGTTGGAGTTAGAGCACATGTTGCAGCAAGATCGACTAGTCTTGATCTATCTACCTAACAAGACTGCATAATGTTCTTACATTTATAAATAAGGAAATCCAAAGTGATGGTGCATAGTGTCCTAATTCTTGGAGGTTTATCATAGTGTTGTTGATCAAGTTTATGCTATGACTTGTGTTATGTTTTTCGTTATTGAGTCTTTTGTTGTCATTATGTTAGAGGTTAATGTGCTATTTTTTTACTTAAGACAGGTATGCTGTTTCCTTATCCGATCAATGTTATATTTTTCATTTTCAAATAAGACATTATTATAAATAATGCATGAGATCTTGTAGTTTTGATGGTTATTGTGATGAATACAATACTTTAGTTATGGTTCTATGAGATTTCATACTCTTATAAATGCTTGGGTGAATGCTTGTGACAACATTTTCAATTGCACATCTATAAGCCAAATGGGTTGTAATAAGTGAACATATAGGATGTTCTATGTTGAATTTGATATGTTTCTCTCAACCCTAATGTAACTCCTTCATTAATATGTATTGTTGAGTGCTTGTGGCAGTAATTGTGAAGTACATCCTCCATAAACTTATCAAACTTATCTCATAGTGGAACTTTGTGGTTTATTGAGGTCCGACCTAGGTGGGTATTTTGGTTGATGGTATGAGGAAACCCTGATGGGGACATCAGCACATGGAAAGTTTATCAGAGAAGTGGTCGTCGATCTACGACCACGATCGAGTCGATGTATTTTTTAGCCATTTCATGTATTTGTCTTTTATTATTTTATTTGTCTCTTATTATTTATGTTGTATTTGTTTTCCCGCTTTTACCTTTTACTTAAGGGAGGTCGTATGTAAGCCCTTAGGGCATAGTCGTCTTTTTATTTTTGAGTCATTTTGTACAAGGCTATTTATAGCCCTTATGTTTCTCTTCGAAGCTTAATGATTGAATGATAAAATTTCTCCCCCATTTTTTAGTTCTTATGAGAGCTTGAGAGATTGGAGCGAGGTCCCTTGGAGAGGGAATATGGATTACCCACTTACCTTGGAGACGGCCGGGTTCGTGGTTCTTCTTTTATCAAAATTTTCTTCTCTCTTCTTCATCTAGCCGCTAGACAAAGGTTTCACCCAATCCCTAGGTCGCCGGCCACCTCGTCTTCCCACTTCCCACACCTGCCAACCACAACCTACCACCACCTCCCTAAATCAGCCCTTAATTTCCACCTAACCGCCGACCCATCTCCACCACCCCCCTAGCCAAACTGCCGGTTCCCTTTCCCCCACCTTGCCTCCAATTTTTCCAATCCCCACTTGAATAGTTTCCTTTCTTGCTTGACACCTTTTGGGAAAGTTATTTACTCTTAATCAAATAATTCAAATTTGAAATTTGAAACCTTTCATAAAATAAAATCCTATTTTAGGAAAGTTTCTTAAATCAAATTTAAAATTAATTTGATTTGGATTGGACATTAATTACCATCATAATTAGTAATTCCCAATGAGGAAAGTATTAAACTTGAATTAATTTCCCCCAAGCCCACCTAATGCCGCCGGCCCCCTAGTGGGTTTCTTTGGAAATTATTTCCAAACTCCAAGTCACCCTCTTGGAAAGAATTCAAAACCCTTCCCCACCTCCTTTGGCCGAAATCTCCCTTTTTGGAATTTAATTAAAACCATTCCCTATCACCCTTGCCGTCGGCCCCTCCCTCCTTTTCCCTTCCTTGAATATTTCACTCAAGGATCTAGAAGGAAATTGTTGAATTAATTCCTCTTCACTTAAACCTCCCAAAATCTAAACCTAAATTCCCCAATCCTCTCCCATTCATGGCTGGGCACTTCTTCCCCTTTTACCCTTGGGAGTTTTCAAGATAAGCTCCTCTCTTTCAATAGGAGCCTTCAAGGGAAGTACCAATGAGCGTGTTCAACACTTCAACACTTGAGAGAAACTTCTTTCTCTCTC